ATGTGGTTTTCGCAAGATCAGTAACCTTTGGGCGTTCTTTTGATTTAAAATACGGTTTCGTAGTAGTTTTTTTTTTTCTTCTACCGCCTCTTATTCTCGTGGCAATAGTTCGTGTTGTACTTTTGGTACATGATTCTTCACTCAGAAGTTCATCTTGGGCTGCAGTTTCAGCACTTGACTCATTAGTTAAAGGTTTGCTCTGGGCTGTAGTTTCAGCGTCCGGTTTATTGGTTGGAGTTTCATTGAGGAGCGCAGTTACTCTATTGGTTGGAACTTGATTTAGAAATGCAGGCTTATTGTTTGATTTATTGGCTGGAGTTTCATTTAACCAAGGAAGATTAGTCGGGGTTTTCAAATTAACACCTAATTAGGTAAAAAAAAAAAAAGGATTGACAAAAAAATTAAAATGTTAATTAAGCTAAAAAATTGAACAGTAATTAAGTGAAAGAAATTATCCACAAATATTTTTGACAGCATATTATTATAACCAAGTACGCAATAAAAAAAAAATAAGATGCATGAAATTAAAATTTCGTTTTGTATAATATGGAATCAGAAAAATTGGGTGGTCCGTCAGATTTTTTTTTGTAATCTATTGTAAATTAATAGATTCATGTTCATATCTAAGGCTATACAAAGTTAATTTTTAATTCGCATAGGATGGAATCAGAAAATTGGGTCAGCACTGAGATTTTTTTTTAGAGAATTCTGGGAAATCAATGTCTTCATCATGTGATATTGGATAAAATTGATAGAAAAATTAAATGCCAAAAATAGAATAATTGACGCAATCGGAACTTTTTTTAAAAAAAAAAAATAAAAAAATAAAATTTGAAAAATCGAAAAACGGGTCGGTGGGTTATGCAAAACGAAAAATTACTTTGTGCGGCCTAAAAAAAATGAAAAAAAAATAATACCAGATTTTTGAGTTTCGGCAAAGCTTATAGTATGGAGATGAACGATATAGTTATTACAAATCATCATTAACATTAATTCCCCGCTAATAAAAAGAACAGATCCTACTTTAACGGAAGAGGTAGTCAGAGCAAGATGTTGGGCAGACTTCAAATGACAATATTCCAATTTTTGAGTTACATAATCCTGATCTACATAATCCTTTGTTTCTATAGCCAAAATGATATTATCAGATTCAATTTGAGGAAGTTCAACTGCAACAGCCGTCATATTTATCAAAATAGGAAATATCGGCAAATTGCTTGGATCGATAGCAAGGTGAACGACCTCAGACAATATAACCTAAAATATAGCAGAAGGAAACTTTATGATATACTGCGATGATAAAGTTGTATTTTAGGATTTATCTTTAACACAGGATATTTCTTTCCATCTTCATCCATATTTTCAATAATCTGAAATTTACCGGTTACCTGAAGTACATCTTCAGTTGCGAACGATGCCAAAACAGATTCTTGTGTTTTATTTTGTGGGTAAAAGCTAGTGATGGGCAAATCGCGGTTTTTT